GCTGGAATTTTCCTCTAACTAAAACACCCTTTATACTTCAAATCTCGTTAAGATAAAGGTAATATGAATTAGAATTTTAATTTTAATTTTATTACCTAATATAATTACATTCAAATATTTTAAAATACATCGAGTGTTATCGCAAAAACCTATTTATGTTAGAAGAATCATCGTAATTTATTCCTAGATTTTTATGAAAATTATTAAGTTTGCTAACAGGCTTAAAAATGATAAATGCATTGCAAAATTCATGTGCGCATATCATATGATTCTAGATTTTTTGTCTTCATCAGTTTTGAAACTACAATTTTTTATCAAAAACATAAAATTTTATCTTCTTTGAGATGTTGTATGACAATAAATTTTTAAATACAAAATCTAATAGGAAAAGAAAAAAGAAGGGTACACTTTTGTCTCTGTCAATCTATCAATTTCATTACTTGATCAATATATAAGAAATATTTTGAATTATATTGCTTCCAAACTAGTTCATGCCTCTAACAATTAAAATTATATATGTATTTTTAGCTACTGGACTCTCACCACATTGTCCAAGATAACTTGCACATACTATTTTATCAGATTCTTGGACAGAAAATGTCCATGAGAGTTGGGACTAAGAATGAAATGAATTCTAGGGGTTCTTAGATTGTTGATAGTGGAGGAGGAGGACCTGACATTTTGGGGAAGCATTCATGGAGATTTTTATCGATTTAGATATATTTGCTAGTGAACTCTCTAACACACAAAGATACACGCACTCTCTCTCTCAAATTAAAGACACGTTGTGCATATGTCTCTCTTCTCTTCTTTTCTTTTTTTTCCTTTTTTCTTTCATTTTCCAACTTGGTTAGGGCGTTAATTCTCTGTCAACTAGTTGTCACCTCCAAATTAAACATTGTATTGGGTATTCTTTTGTGTCACTGTATAGTTAATGATATATCATTCATAAGGTAGTTGATAAAAGTTATATTTTCATTGTATTCGTGGATTGGGTATTTTGATTTTGTGTCCATGTGTGTTTTGTTTAACCAAATAGAGTTAACAAATAAGCTGGCGAAGAGTATTAATAGTTAATTTTGGATCTCCATCTAGTTTCTCTCTATTGCTTTTACTGTCATTTTTTCACTTGGTTAGGGTTTTAGTTGGAAACCATTACTCTACGAATTGTCTACAATTAGTGTAATTAGATTCAGTTTCTATGTTTGTTGAATAAGGTATTAAAAGATCATACCTTTCCTATCAGGAGGAGGTGGAATCAGGAAAAAGAAAGAGGGCAGTAACTATAGAAACTAAAAGGTTGAGGTTCCAACTTTTCAAATCCATAAAAAAGGACGAAGATGATGAATGCTTTATCCTTCAGATGCATGAGGTAAATTTCTTCCTTATTCAAGATGTAATATAATTTTAGCCATTATAGAGAAAACGAGTAAAGATACATTAAAATGCAAAATTATTATTCTTTTTTTCAAGGTTACAATAATTTCCAAGGCACTTTTAACACATGAAGAAGTAATTATAATTCTAAGTTTTTTATAGTGAACTAAAAACCATGAATTTTTGGGTTTCTTGAATATATGTTGGAAAGAGAAAATTATGTGATTCAATATTGTATGTATGAGT